GAATATGAGAAAAGGCTCTAGAATATTCATACTACACTAATTACTGAAATTCATGATTTCAAACTGATAAAAAAATTATATTACAATAACCATTTCATTGCATCCAAACCAAGAAAAATTCAAGATCCAAAAACAGATTAGTCGCAGGGAAATTACATAAGTCGAACTCGGTTCTGGTCTTCTGCTGGGGTAGAGCAAGCAAAGACGCTTTATAAAAAATTTGGGTTAGCCCCAATGGGAGATTCAGTGATGGTAGACCGCAGAGCGCAAACACACACTTCGGACCCTTGGGTTAGTGTGACAGTGGAGGCGGAGCCCGAAATGTTTTTTAGAAGGGGCCGAACGAAATTTTCATTAAAAAAAAATGAGCGTTTTCATTAATTAAAAAGCTAATAAAAATAAAAAATAATAATACTAATGAAATAAATAATTTAGTAATATTTTTATTTTTGTGAAAATAAGATATCTTAAATTTGAGTTACGTGATATACGAATGAAATGAGATTAAAAATTGTGAGCAAGTTGCTTTATATTTATGTAATGTAATATAAAAAAAAGCAAATAAAAAAGAAAATTTTAATAAAAAATTATTTTGAACTAAAATTTGTTAGTCTTAATGATAAACTAGTTTTAGTTGATGGTATAGTACTATTATGACATCAATTGAAAGATAAAATAAACATATATTGAATAGAAAGACACTATAAACAAAAAATAAAAATAAAAAGGTACTAATGAACAAAAAAATAATATTAATGAACAACTGTTTTATAAAAAGAAGATATTAAACAATTTTGTATTCAATTGATTTTTATTTTTTATCATATTTGATATTCAATTCATATCTTTATTTTTCTTTTTTTCTCATAAACACTAAAACTAATATTTGAAAAAATAATAGTTAAAAAAAAGACTAAAATGTATGCAATAAATAAGGATTGAAAAAAAAATAAAAATTTAGTTTACTAGACTAAAGTTTTTATTTCTTAAAAGTTTAAAGGGGCAGTGCCCCTTCATGCCCACCTTATCTCCCCTGATGCCCATTGATATTGGAAGCTCTCATTATTTAATATTCTTTATTTTATAATCAAATATAATTTAAACAGTAAAATAAGGGTTATATATATATATAAATGAAAAGCTAACATGCCATCCTCCCAAAGCTTTTTGGAAGGATTTATTTAAAATTTTATTTTTA